TGGTTATAGGTAATATATAAATAAACATAAGAAAGAACTATTAATAAATCCTAAAAGAGAGGATGTGACAGGTGGGTGTGGCAGGAGGGGGTCTGATTTTCTATTTGATAGCTCTCTTACCAAACAAAATTAAAGGCTATAAAAATTATGATTTCTCTGATCAATGACGATTTCAGTAATTTATATTGAATTTCGTACTTTTTGGAGGGTTGATGGATAAAATAGAGAAGATACCTAGAGAAAATGTGTCATGTGTGTAACACTAGGGGAAATTCAAATTTTTTAAATACTGCCTTATACAATTAAGAACTTAAACTTTATATACTATTAAAATATGGATTATTAGCTAAGATTTTATGCTATACTAATTGGTATAGCACAAACAAAAAGTAGTTTAATAAAATTTTGAATTCAAGACACAAAAACCTTGTGTCATGTCCAGTAAAGGATAACCATGGTGATAGGGTTAAAGGTACTACAGCAAATGATCTTCTGAGCTGTACTCAATGAGGGTAAGCACCAGGAACTTTTGATGCTATCTTAAAATGTTTGGTTGTCTTATTTTTCAAGTCATGAAAAATGTACTTATGGTCCTTTGTGACAGCATAGGCATGACTGGACATTGACAAAAGCCTGAAATAACCCCAAACATTACATAGTTGTAGCCCTATATTTTTTCAGCACCATAAAATACAAAGTCTAAAAAACAAGTTTACAATATACATGTTCAATCATTTGCAGATTTATTAAATGTTAAACTACAGTTGAAATGCTTTTAACTTCCTTTCCTTTTGTTCAGTGAATTAAAATAGAATGTTTTGTTCCCTCCTCCCATGAACCTAAGTTGAAGATAGCTTTGTGAAGAAAAGTAAATTTAGAGAAGTATAATACATATCTATCAAGCTTTGATGTTTTCCTTCTGAATTTATTGCCTGAATAAGCTTTGTGAAGTATAATAATAATGGTTATTTATTAGGAATTTACTTTAACTCTTTCATGAGTACATCTTCCATTAGCTCTCCAGAGCTGGTACGAGAAATACAAAACCAACGGTGATTCCATGCTGAATTGTTACGAATGTCATCTTCCAACAATTGTTCAACAAATTCTATTTCACCTTCCCAAATACCAAATTCTTCCAGAACCCACTGCCTGAAAAACAAGAACAAAGCAATCTTATACAATGTTAATCTGACTCAGACAGGAATAATCTTTATGTAGCTACAAAAAATTAAGGACTGTATTTTTTTTATATTTCCTAATTTTAATTACTTCATTGCATTGTATGTTAATGATAATAGCTAGAGTTAGTGCTATGGTAGAGAAAATGAAAAATAAAATATAAAAAAACCATCATTATTTGTGTACAAGATGCTTATGATCTTTAATGAAATCTTACCAGTTTTCGAGTGGATTCTTTAAGAAATATCAGAGTTACCACATGTATTGTTGTACCAGTGAAATTCTCAACTTGATTTCCGCAAATTTCACAAGCCTGCCACAAAAGGGTTAATGTTTCCTAGCAGTCTCATGTACTACATACAACTGATTAATGTATATGTATATATAAATTATTTTTTAACTACTACATATGCAGTCGCTGTTTGAAACAGTTGAAACAAAGTAAAAAAGTCCCTTTTGAAATGTATAAAACATAAGCACATTTTTCTGAAAGTTTCTATGGCATATGACATCTTAAGTAATCAAAAAATTGTGAAAGAAAAAATACATACATGATTTAAAAAACTACCAATGATTTGAAAACAACTTCCTTCCACCTTAAAGATAAGATATTTACTTTCAAATTTCCACAAACTCACATAAAGTTTGAAAAACTGGATAATGACTATTACTTTTGACAGTAATACAGCAGAATAACGTCTTAAGTTGAAAAGCAGTACCTTACCTATGCTGCCAAGCATGATAGTTCTTTGGATCTACTTTCAGCACAGCCTCAGTCAACTGTTTCTCTTCACTAGTGTCACGTAGCCAATCAACAATAACTTGACGATGGTGCCTTCAAATATTATTTTCCAAATGTTACTTTAAAAATAACTTATTGTAAATATATGTGTAACTTTTTGTTTTATAGATATGCTTTATGATCTCTAGGAAACAGAAAGTTGCGAGACCAAACATTATTCCTATTTAACCTCAGCAATATCTTAAGTGATTATCATGGTGTTTTAAATTCAAAGAGCAACTAAAACAAAATAAATATAGCTTTAACAACTTACTACTACAATAAATAGGAACACATGATATATATATTTTCAGTTTGCTTCAAATATCTGTCCAAAGTTACAGAAGGATTATCTATGCAAATCTACAGGTATCTGATCTTTGACATTTCTTTACAATTTTGCTCTTTTTGTGTCCTAGCTATTTCAATATTTACCTTAACTCTTTCAGCACAGGCTCAGTCCCTGGGACCGATCTCGTAACCATTTTGTGCTTGTTATACATTTCATGCTATAACTTTTACATTAGTAAGCATATGTTAATGAAATTTGGCAGATTATCAATAAACATTACAATGCTTTCATATGCAAAATATCAAATATTTTATTAAATCTCAAGATTTGTTAAGCAACGTTTTTCTCATGTCTGTTTTTTCTTTTCACATCTTGCCTATCTATCATGCAAAGTAATTTTCATTTTATGATTAAAAATACTTTTATGCATCAGAAAATTTTGAAATTTCACCTGCAAAATCTTTATAATGTCCAGATAGTTATCAAACATTCCTTAAGAAAAAACTTTATATTTTATCTGTTATTTTCAGTAATGAATCTCTGTACAGGTTCAGTAGATTTGACCGATTTTGTAACCACCATAAAAAATTAGGAAATAAATATAAATTATGCCTCTTTCATTCTAGAATGACAACAAATTATAATATGAAAACAAATATTTAGACTAAACAACTTAAAAAATTTCATAACATTAAACATTTATATATATATCCGAATAAGTTGTTTAAACATTTGTTTAACAACAAGTAAAAGCTTGGAATGGTCTATTCTTTCTTTGGGGGTGTGTCTGTAAGCCAGACTAGTTTTGGAGAATTCCACTCCTCATCAGTGACCCTGGACACTACCACCAATGAGAGTCCAGACCAAACCTTTATAGTAGTGAAGTATTGAGAATTGAAACGGTGTATTTAAGTGTTTTACACTCACAAAAAAGAAACCTATCACTCTATAGGTATTTAAAGAACTTGTAGCATTCCACCACTATTTAGTTCTTCATATTGTTAGCGGACACTAGGCAGCTGGTACATAATTGAATAAGTTGTTTAAACATTTGTTTGATAATTTATATATATATTTATTATTTTTATTATACTGACTTTAGCCATGCCTGGTTACAATACAGAAGTTACAATGATGAAGCAAACGTGCACTTGTGTTACCGTATACAGTAATATAAAACTGACCTTTAGTCTTTACAAAGTGACCTGTCTTGGCTGTGTTTTAGTAGACTAGTATTTTGTAAAATACAGTAACATTTCCATCATTATACATTATATATGTATATAGATTATTACTATTTAGAAATAAGTTCTTAAATTTATTTTTATTAAAACATAGAACAGTAGATAAAGAAGTAACGCAAATAATTATCTCTTCTAGTTACAACCTTTGTGCTCTGTTGCTGCTTAATGTAGGTTGTTTTAAAATTTCGCACATGGAGAAAAATTTTTTTAGATTTTATATATACATTTAAATAACTAAAACATCGTAAATTACTACTTCAGTATCATAGGATTTCACTATAATTTATCAGCCTTAGTAACTAAGCTTTATTTGGATCTAAAAAATATGAAATTTCGAGCAGACTAAAGACACAACCTACTTCCTTGAAATGTTGGTTCCAAACAAAAAAAATGGCATCCAAACATGTTAAAATGACTGAGAAAGTCACTGGGGGGGGGGACATTCTGAGCTTTTGATTGGTTATTCATGTCATATATAGAATTAAGAGTATATAAGGGTGTGTTTCCAAAAATGAAAAGAGGTGGGCAGGGTGCCACTGTGTTTGATTTATTGCATGAGCAATATCTTAACAAACAGAAAAGATAAGTGGTTTCTACTTCATATTCTAGCTTGTCAATATCGGTAATTTGAGTTTGTAAATCGTACAAAACTATAGACTATAGAACCAGTGCTGCATTCAACATACCATGTGAAACAAAAACATTGATGTTTAACTGTGTTTTTTTTAATATTTACTTCTAAATTAAGGAATAATTTGAATTATATAATTCACAGTTTAATATCAAACTTACTGACATAAATTCATATATTATAGTTAAATACAATTTTGAATGCGAGTCAACAAACACAATGACATGGCCTTTCACCCGTGACGTGTCTGGAAAGGGTTAATGAAACGGCAATTATATTTTACAAATTCTTTAACAATGTTGGATTTGATTCTTCACAATAGAACAATTTAAGATGGTATCCTCTGCCATCTTTTTTTCTTTCCTATGCTATGAGAGCTACGTTACAGAAACTCTAAAATAAACCAAACCACTGCTGGTACTACTGATTGTTGTAATGGACAAATATATGAATTTATATCATAACTCTGTCCAGACTTTGGGGCAGTCATTGATATCCCTTGATTCTCATTACTCTTACAAGGAAAATACTTAACCAATTTGTATCAGCTTTATAAAAAGTTTTAAAATAGTACCTAGTCCTGGCTTTAAATACATCATATAATTTGATTTATTTATTCCATCATTTCTTACATTTTAAAAAAACTGAACATTACAAAATAATTTCTTTTCTCTTAGAATTATTAACTTACCTGAAAATCTATTTCATATAGCCATTTACCTCTCTGCATCACTAAGAGCTATTGCCTCATGCATACCTGCAATGGAATTTCCCCCACATACTACAAGCATTGAACAAATTCCCACCACTACATATCAATGTGTACTGCATTAGCCTATGGCATAACCATCGTAATGCTGTAACTCTCCACCAATAGGATGGTAACACAACCTCCATACGCAGTAATCTCCATGAGCACTAGGCCCATTCTTGACAAAGCAAGCAAAATGCATCGGAAATGGAAAGGGTAGAAAGGAAGAGTAGGAGGTGGTAGAGAAAGTTAAGTATCTATCTAAAATACATTTCCAGGTAAGGAAAATGTTAACTTCAGAAATGTTACTTACCTCTCTACATCAGTAAGAGCAAGAATCTCACACTAAAAATGGTGGAGGAGCTGGTGCTGATCAATTACAAATAGTGATAGAAAGCTACTAAACTTTGCCACAATATCTAAAGTGACAGTTTTGTTTCTCAGAAGGAACATAAATGTTTAAACCTATAAGTAGAGTGCAGCAAGTATTGCTTAGTTTAGAATTTGTTTTTACTTCAATTTCATAAATAAACATTATAAGTAATTATAGAAACACATTTTTGGCAATTTATATCAGAACAATCACTATTATAGTGTTGGAGGAATTCAAAGAAGTCTAAGATACACAAGTTGTAAACAAACTTGGTTCTAAAGAATTAAAAAAAATTCACCTACCACACTTGGTAATTTTTTGGATTATCTTCAATGATAGATTGAACATAGATTAATTCCTTATGTAAATCCTTCTTCAGAGCTTGAAGAAGAACCCTTCTGAAGTACCTAATATGAAAAAAAAACAAAATTATTTTAATAAGTTGGTAACACCAAAATTCTTTATTGAAAGTACATTTAGAGTATCTAGATGCAAGAAAGAAATGTTAGCCTTTTAATTGGTGTTGAAAATTAAATCATTCAGTAGCCAAAAGAATAAGTTACTGTATTTTTCGGAATATAAGACCTCACCAGTGTATAAGACACACCCTTATTTTGAAGACAAAGTTTTGGGGAAAAAAAACTACAGTCG